AATTAGTTGTTTAAAAAGTTGAGTTTGTTTCAAGTAAAATTAGTGTTAAGGAACAAAAATTCTAATTGCAGCTGCTGTTGTTAATTGGTAACTCCTTTTGTACTGGAAGCTTTGGTCTTCTTATTTTTTCATAGTACAGTCTTGAAAATAATACTGTCGTATTTATCAAATGTACTCTGAGCTGGATGGATGGTAAGAAATTCTACTACTAAAAAGTTGTGTCATTCAGTTTATATAGAATAGTCTATATAATTAGATACATACTAATTTTAAATAGGAAGTTCCAGTTTCAATTAAATTATATAGAGTTAGTCTGTATTTTACATATGCTGTTATCTACAAAACAAAAGTTGAGAAAAGTATGCTTTAATTATCTTAAGGCAGTATTTTGTACAACTTGTCAGCATGATTTAGAGTGTGTATATTACTATGTACAATGATTATTACTATTTAAGAGGTATGCACTTTTATATAGAGTTCTTCATGTCTGTGTAAACATCTACAGAGCTCAGATTTCAAACCAAAGACATGAAAGGCACTTGAATATATTATCTACCCCAGGAACTTCCTGATTACATTAATTTTTTTCTATATTTACTTTAGCTATAACAGAAGGGCTGCTACACACAATAGTAAATTGCATATTTAAAAGCAGTAGAACTTATATCTTAAAATTAGATATGTATCAAAATATTACACAGAACCTAAGAATACTCAACTTGAATAAACATATGTGACTTTTAAGTATGATATTTTGAGTAAACACATAAATGTTCAAATCTATTCTTCAATTTACTTTTCCAGACTGTCATGTTTATTATAGACATTATCTGAAACATTTTATAGAAAAATTTTATGTGTGTGAGAGTGTTTAATGCACCTATAAATTAACAATGTGCTTATATACTAGCCACTAGTTGACACAGAGAAATCACAAATGCGTGATTACTCAATTCTGGTCTTCCCAACACTAGATTGTTTTTTAATAGTGTAATATTCTAGAAATAGCTTTGAAAATTAACAAAATGCAAGAGTCCAGAAAAGTTAATAAAAAATAGCTCAATCCTGATGAGGTTGGCTGATATTCACAGAATTCAGGAAGAATAAGTCCATCTATAAGTATTCTTTCACAATAAATCTATAATGGAATTTAAATGAAACACACCATTATGAGAGAATAATTCTTACACAGCAGAGAAATACATTTGAATGTAATGTTCACATATTTATTAATTTAATCAATAAATGTGTATTTTATAGATTTAATTTGCCGGAACTATAATGTGGTGGTTACTTTATTAGCTATTAAAGGGAATCTGTTATGCTTTGGGTGCTCCTAAAGGCATCCACATCTAAATAAACTAGGGCTCAGACATTAAAAGAAATACTTACAATAAAATTAAAAGTAAAAATAGGTCTTACTGAAGATGAATACCCTTTTAACTCTAAAATAAGTAAAATAAATGTTTTGTGGAATAATGAATTATGATTATTATGAAATAACATTGAATATAGAAGAATGAGAGTTTATAAAGTTTCTGGATTTAGTAGACTGCATATCATTATGCATATCGCAATTTATATTTTGGGGTTAAAAATAAGCATTTAATACTTTATTTTAAACATGATGAATAGAGAAGTGGATTCATAGATTATAAAATAGGTATATATGGAGACTATAACTATATAGGTATCCAAGTGAGTAACTGGAGATAAATATCCTTGATAGCTCATCAATTATTCTTGGAAATGATAGTTATAAAAGCCTTACAGTATTATCGATGAGGATATTTAATGACCAGTATGAAATTGTTACAGTGGCTATTTGATACAAAGAAAAAAGAAAGAAGGAAAGAAAGAAAGAAAGAAGGAAGGAAGGAAGGAAGGAAGGAAGGAAGGAAGGAAGGAAGGAAGGAAGGAAGGAAGGGTGGGACAGGCCTGAACTTCCAGGTAGATTTCCTCAGTAGAAAGGCCATTAGTGTTCATGATTAAATTTCATCTTCAGAGACTTGGGTTCCTTTTTATAGGATAGAATAAACATTTTGCACTATCCCTTACTTTTACAAGTAATATCATGCATTAGTAATCCATAATATTCAGTCACATTTTTTTTTTTTTTTGTTCTCCTTAAGAACTTAGGAATTGCAGACATTTAAGTAGTAAAATGGCATCGTGCAATGGTGGTGCATGCAGAAATGGGTCAATCACATTGCTAAGTGTTTAAATGAAATTATCCAAGTAGTTGTGAAATTAAAACACCAAAGATGTCAGATGTTACCCTAGTTAATTAGGATAATCTTAATGTGAGTTTATAAGAAATGTTAAAAATTAAAGTCTACCTTTTTTCAAGTTTCTCCATTTTGATGTTATTATGAGTATATTTCCATGTTCTTTTTAAATTAAGAACAGAGATCACCAAGTTGATTATATTTATCTTCTAAGAAATGAGATTTTCCTCAAATTAAATGACACTAAGAAGTCAATCACGAGCAACTATCCTGTAAAAGTGACTATTCTTCCAGAAGGACATTGATGTCAGATAATTATACTATCAAAAAGAACTAATGTGTCTCAGGAAGAGTATTAGTTCAAGTTTTTAATTACATAGTATCAAAACAAAAGATACTGCTGAACCTTATACTTGATACTAACATTAGAAAAATATTTAGATAATATTAACTTTATGTGAAGATATACCATTACATAAAACCTAAATAGTATCTTTTGAAAAATATCCTTTTGTCTTTTGTTTTCATAAAATGTATCTCCCCCCCCACACTTTTTTTGGCTTTCCCTTTCAAAGAATCCTCTCCTTTTATATCATTTCATCCACAACTCTCTAAAGTACAGGTCATTTTATCCACAAGGCATAAGAAAAGTAAATGAAAGTGGTCAGAAAGTCTTACTAGGATCTCTCAGAACTAGAACTGAAATTCAGGAAAAAATATAATCAACCAGCACTCTTGTTCTCACATTAACCCATTATAGCACATGAAAGAGTGCTTCATTAATCATAATGAATACACAAATACCTTAGGCATAGGTTTTAAGAAAGTTAAGTTTGTGGTAAACTTGTTACAAATTGCTATTACTTTCCCATTTGTGTCAGAACTCTATAAATATTAATATCCAATTTTCTAAATTACTGAAAGTTTTATATGCTTAAGCTAATCACTAGTTTTCATTTTAAAGATAATATTAAAAAAACAACAGCAGGAAATATGCATATTTTGATAATGAACATCAAAGTGTGGAAAACACACCAGTTGTGTTCTTTGCACTTGGAGAGAAAAACACGCAAAGCAACTATTCTAAAAAGAAATTCCACTTTTATTAAGAACAGAAATCTAGGAGCACAGCTAATGGTAGAACTTGTAAATCTTTGTACCCATGTAACATGTATATGACACACACCCACTTTGAGTTCAATGGTTTCTTCCTGCTCAAGTTTTATTTACTTAACTATAATATATCAATCTTTTTTTTTCCTGAAAATCAATATATACTATAGTTTATATAAGAAAAACACTTTCCTATTAGAATGTTGAGTTTTTTAAAGAAAAGTTTCCATGAGAAAATGGAATCACATAGTATTATCTGATTAAAAGATAAATGCAATTGATCATCATACGTTATCTTGTCTATTTCATTTGAAAACAATAGTAAAGCAATATAGATTTAAAATAAACATCCCCATCAATCCAAAAATGAGTATATGTTTACACACATGTGTCTATACACACACACATACACAAACACATACACAATCATATTTACTAAAATTAATTCCAGAGGACAAAATAAAGAAGAATTGAGAAATTGGAATGCATTGATGAATTATTTTCTCCATTAAAGTAAAAACTACTTTTTGCATCAAGCTAAAAACAGCACTATAACTTTGCAATTCTGCAACCTAAAGTTAATATTACCTTTCTTATTGTTCAAAATTTTATCAGTGAGCCTTAACAAGCAGAAAAACATTGATCAGAGATCAATAATTATTGATTAACAAATGTAAGCACTAAAAATGTTTTCAGGAAAAATTTTAAAAAACAGATTTTTTTTTGGAAAACAGAAAGTATTATTACCAAATTGAACAGTTTTATGATTGTGTCTTAGCAATATATTTTTGCTTCACTTTGTGGAAACTCCAGACTTCCTTAACATGTAAACCAAACATAACAAAACAATATCAATAGCATTAACAAAACTTATTAAACGTTAAAAAAAAACATTATTTTAATTCGGTTAAATCTGGATACTAGAAGAAACTTACAGGTTGTTCAATTTACAAATATACAAAACTTTGAGTTTAAAAAGGTTTATTTGGGGAAGAGTTCACATAGTTTTCTGATTTGATTTTTTTTTTTTTCAATTTCCCAACTCTTTTCTAAAACAGAAGATGTCTATATTGGGGTCATATAGAACACTGCCTGGGGGGAGCTCTTCTTTTCTCATACTGTTTGACAATCAAACCCACCCCTAACCCCATGATTTTTTTTTTCCAAGATGGAGAAGGTAACACAAAAATATCCATAGAACATTTCTCTAAGGTAGTCAAAATTATTTTTCCAGTTCCAGATGCCCTTAGTAGTTATCCAATTGTCCTTTATATATTAAGGCCTGTGACCTTAGTAAGAAGCAACGTTTTAAGGCATTTCTTGAACTTCCATCTTCCATATTTCATTAGGGTTTATACATCTCTTCCACTAACTCTACTTTTCCTATCTCTTCCTCTCATCTCGGTCTAGCTTATGATTTTTGTAACACTGATAAACATTTAAATAAGTGCATGTTAAAATTTAAATGAATTCATGTTAAGCGTTTAAATGATTTTAAAGGGATTTATGAATGTTAATATTAAGAAGTTATACATCACAGCAGAACCATCTGGAAATAAATATATAGTCCATCACATAAAACAGGGAAAAATCATCACAGGATGGGTCAAACACAGGTTATATGGTTGTTGATGAAATACTGAGACATTCATTCCTTACCTGCTTAACTGCATGATGGCAAACAAATCTAAATAGCACATAAAAGGAAAAGTCCCCCGAATCTGAATCATCTGTCTTCCACGCTGCTGTGACAGTTTTATATGCTGGTGCTTTCTTCCTTGCTTATATACATTTGACTCGCTAGAATATTTGTGGGCAATCCTAGGGTTAATTTGTAACCCTGGTCACCTCTTCCTCTTTTCAAACAGCCGGTTGGTGTCTCACACAGCTGGAACCATGCATTTTATCTTCGGAAGTAGAGCCTACCCTGCGATTCCCTGCCAGACTCCCATTAGAAAGAGGTCCCTGCTTTAAAGGACTGATCACGGTCTCAACCTGGAGCAAAGTAAAAGGCTCTCCAGTTCAACTCTTAGGGACTAGGAGAACAGCCATCAGAGACTTCAACTCTACCACCGTTTGGCTACAGAACCTGTAGAAACCCTCGGCCAAGAAGCACCACCCTCTCTCCAGTGGACGCCAGACCCAGGTCCTCCCACTTCTCGCACCCCCTCCAGAAAGGGGAGGAGGCGGTAAAAGACCAACTTTAAAGTGCATATAATATACACTAGGCAGCTCCCAAACCCTCACTTTTTTTGTTTTTAACTTCAACCTGATTTTCCAAGCCCCAGCTCCAAGTTGAAATCTAACTCTTTCCCTCACCCTGCCACCCTCCAGATTCTTGGGAGTTGATGGAGGAAGGCGAGGAGTGCCGATCATCAGCAATTCAACACTAATCCTGGGAAGTCTTCAGCAATTTTAAGTCCTACTAAGCGATCGGATGAAGTTGGATGAAGACAACGGTTAAGATTTTGTAAAACATACATACTACAAAGCGTCATTTCTTAGACACAGCTCATTAAAAAATAATAAATAAATATTAACGAGGAAAGGTATTGAGAGATTCCAGGAATCGCCAAGTCTGTCCTCTCCTAAAAAAAAAGGTTGTGGCCAGAGGTAGGTTCCACTCTGGAAGGATGAAAACCCCTGCCAGCCCCACTCTCCAGGGCTGCAAATGCCCATAACCCAGCCGACGTTCGCCGCAGGGGCTGAGTGCGGAGCCTGCGCTAGCTGGTCAGCGCCAGGGACACGGCTCCTCCCCGCGCGGGTCATTCCCACCCCAGCACCAAGCCTAGGGCCAGCCAGTCAACCAGGTACTTTGCCCTCCACGCTCCCTGTGCCCAGGTGGCTCAGGTATCGCCAGGAGCTGCGGACAAATCCCCAGGCAGAGTCGCCTGTTGATAGCCCTCTGGTTAAAACGTTCTTGGCTGCGGAGGCTCGCAGATGTAAATTTCCCTTTCACAAGCGCGATCTTCAGATTAAAACACAGCAAAACGCACTTACCTAAATACCGAATGTCTGTGCCTTACTGGAGTGGACTAGATTAAGAAGAAAAGATCCGACTGCACTGAAAGTTGCTTTTTTTTTTCCCCCACCCCTGCGCAACAGCAGCAGTCCTCCAAAGAGGATGTTTGAATTGGCGAATTACACTAAGCCCTCGTTTCCTCAAATGAAGTCACAGACGCTGATGGCACTGGCTTGTCAGGCAGGACGACCGGACTGGCAAAGAGACCAGGTAGAAACTAGTGAAGGGTGAGGGGCGCCAAGTGGTGTGAACCAGTATCAATAGGAGTCTCTCGGTAGGAACCAAGGGGGAAAAGCCCTTGAATGTGAGACTGGGGATGGGGTGAGGCTGCAGTTGGAGTACTTTTATGTCTGAAAGCCAAAAGGGCTTTTGAAATTTAGAAAAAAAAATGCTTAGGCTGTCTTGTCAGCCATCAATGACGACAGGATAGTTCTGTCACGGAAATTAAGGAAAAAAGCGGGGGGGGGGGGGGGGAGCTTGAACAATAGGTTCTCACCTCTATCCATCCCAATGTTGCAGAAACCAGAAACTTGTCCTCATGGGGGATGAGGGTGACAGGTGACAGGGTTCACAGAGGAAACCCTTAGAATGTGTTAGAGACTACTGACACATGCAGGTTTGGCATTGGATGAGCTTGCCAATATATGAAGTAAAAGCAAACATTTTAATGTTTCTGAACAAAACTATACTGAGGGGGGAGGTGATGCTCTTGTCAGTTAGGCTCCCTAGAACCGTTCAGTGGGTAAAGCAATGACCATATTACATACTTATTAAAAATTGAGGGTGGAGGTGGGCAAGTGTGAAGAGTGAGGCAATTAAATTTTTCATGTAAGGTCAGTCCCTGAATTTTAATTTTTTTAGAACCAAGATAAACAGTGCTTTCTTCAGATTTCTCTCTTCCTGTGATGTGAGCACTCCCTGTTCAATTAACTGTTCCCCAGCTAATTCACAAAACCAGAAATGCACGGCCAAATACTATGCTTGAATTGAAATACAATGCCCCAAATAATGTGTTCATATGTGATTTGGATGTTGTAAGAAAAAAATGGTGCCCTCGAAACTCCCACTCCTTCTCTGACCACATAGTGGCATGTTAGTTCTTACGGTTCTGCTAAATTCATAAATACACACTTTATAAAAGTCCTCCCTCAGACATGCAATTGCTTACTATGAGATGAACACTCACTGACCTAAACAACCTTCTGAAGATCACAGGGAGTAGTGAACTATCCCAAACCCTGTAATACTCAGATCTCTCTTAGATAAACATAAAATTCCAACCTATCAAATGGCACAAGAATGTGTGCCCAGAAGGGTTAATGGGGGAGGGATAAATATCCATATAACATGTAATGCAAATGATAACAGAAGCCAAAAAAGAAAGAAAGAAAGAATGTAAGACATATTAGGGTAGCTCTTTACATGGACTACATCTTAGCAGTTAACTGCAACCAGAATACTAACTAATGCATATGGTCAGATAGATCTTAAAATAGTTCTCAAAATTAGCACAAAAGGAAAAAAATTAAGAAAAGGAGAAAGAACACCTTAAAGAGCCTTAATTAAAATAACACTAATAAAAACTTACTAATATCATATAAAGTGGATCACTTACCAGAGGAAATTTCAGGAAGCAAGATGACTGTAAGAAAAATACTTCCAGGATTCAAGCGGATACTCCATGGTCTTCCAAATCAAGGTGAATTAGTGAGCTGCTGGATGGTAGGACTTTGAAATAATCAGCAGTTCCTGGTGGCATGTAACCAAGTGAAAACCAGTTACAAAGAGAGCCACAAACCCCCAAGGAAAGGAAGCAAAATGTGAAAGAGGAGCTTTTTATTTGTGTGTGTGTGTGTGTGTGTGTGTGTGTGTGTGTAAGGGAGAAGTGAGGGGGTGCTCACACTTATGCAAAGTGAAAATTTATAGACGGCACATCCCCATACAGTGGAGAAAAACAGAAGCTGTGTAACCTTAGAGAACAGGAGGTGGAATACAGATAAATCTGCAAAGAGAAGTAAAAAGATGTGTTGAAGTCAAGGAGATAAAGAGAGAACTAGTGAGCAAGGCTGTAGTCATCCTGATAGATATAGCAGCAAGAATGATTTAGGCTGCTGGGGAGGATCCAATGAGAATTCAAGAGGGCACTGCTTCCGAAATCCTGTTCTGATCTTCCCACTCTCAGTTCTTTAAGAGTTACCTGCGCTGGGAGCATTTTTATCAGGATTAATAGTATTCCATCAGTACATTTTGCAAGGATTTCCCTTGAACTCTTTCACTTGCCGCAACTGAGGGAGGCATAGTAAGGCAGCCCGACACAACCAGCACCCCAAATAAAACACTACGGATCAGTCACACTGTGATAACCAAATCATCAGCGATTTGCATTGGCCGGGCGGGGGATGTGGGGGCGGGTATCCAAGGGCTGAAGATGGGGATAAAGCCGAGTCTCTGGGCGCTCTCGGGGGCGCTGCTCTTTAGAGGCTCAGACAAGGGGACTGGGAATCCTGGTTAGATGAGGCACCGGCGGCGGCGGCGGCAGCCCTCCCGGGTCCCACTTCTGTGGCGAATCCTCCTGCCTGGGACTCCAGGCAAGTGACTTGCATCAGAAGTCTCAGCTCCAAATGCTTTGCTTTAAGAAGCTGGAGCCTTGACCGTTCGGAGGGCCATCCCTGGGGGAGCAAGTGGCAGCCTGAGAGGCGTCCGCCTCCCCTCTGATTTCCTGCACAGTTACCGAGGGATAGTGTGCTAGAAATGGCTCTGCTGTCGAATGCATTTTCTTGCCATTTTCATGTCCCGATACTGCATAAACAATCACCTGATCGATCGGGTAAGATTAGCTTTATTCTTTCTCCCTTTTCCTCTCCTAGTCCCACTACCTCTCCTAAGCATAAACCCCCCCGCCCTCTCCTGGTCTTTTCTCCTCTTGGAAACCTACTTCGCCTAGGGAATTGCCTGTGTGACTGAGAGGCTGGTAATTCTGTTTGTAGATGATTTATATTTTGGCTGTGGAATGAATCCCCCTCCCCACGCAGAGTACTCTCCCTAGAGAGGGTCCTCCCCCACTCCACGGGTTCGCTCTCGGAGCTGGGATCTGTATAAAGAGCGCTGTGGGAGTCTTTTGCCCTCTGCTCTAGCTGGGTCTTCCTCCGACTGAAGCTTAAGAATTATTCTCTCTCTCTCTCTCTTTTTTTAGAATAGGAGGGAAAGGTAGAGTGGAAATTGATTTCTTGCAGAGACTGAGTCGCCGGATGATAGAGGGAATAAACATTTGCCCTGGATAGAAATGTTCTTGGTAAGTAATCTTATTTTCTGCAGTTGAAAAGGAAACACATTGCTTGTCACGGCCCATCCCCCACTCCATTCATTTATTTGTTCTCTGTATGTAAATCACGAGCTGGGTCAGTGGAAATTTTCTTTTCCTCTTTCCTAGGAGAGTGGTAGAATGTAAGGGTGAATTTGAAGTAGGGATTTTTAAGGAGTCAATAGAAACGCTTTAAGGTCCTTCTTATCCTACATTAAAAACGCAAAGGCAGGCAAAGCAGATCCTTGTTTGCTTGCTAAAGGGATATTTAAGGATCTCCCTTAATTCCTACTAAATCTCTTTCCTTTCTGAAAATGAAATACTTTTGAGTTAGTAGCCCCGTATTTATGCTTTTCGTATACTTTGATCATTTTATAAAATATATTATTCTTTCAGTAACAGTAATGAAAAGATTATTTTTTCATATTTTGCAGCTAAGTTAAAACTACAGAAATCTCTTCATAAATGTGCAACGTGGATCTAATCCTTATACCAAATACGAACTAGTAATATCCCAAATGGCTATTTGCATGTTGTGATAATACTATAAATTCATAAAGCCCTTTGGTTTTCCATGAGTCTATAGCACCCCCAGCCTGTACATGCTCATAGTGTGAAGAGTGGGTATGTTTAGGAGAGGGAAGAAACCAAACAGCTTTTGATTGTGCTTATATTATAGATCACTAAGTGTGAAGAGTAACAAGTCTTGTAAATTGTGTGAACTTGGTTTTCAAGTGTAAGCTGACCATTCTGGAGGTGAAAAATTAAGAGGCTTCTTCCAAGAAAAATCTCTGAAATTTTGAATTAATATATCCTTACCAGTAACATTTTACATTAATTTTACATTAAATACATTATTTTTTTCCTTTATTATTGTCAGTCCTACTATGACCCTTTATCCTCAAGTTTTAATAATAAGGGATAAGTTAAGTGGTGCAAAATTGATTCCTGATGCAAACAGGATGACCTGAATCTCATAAAAATATATGCTATTAAAATTCCATTGATAAAGTTTCATTTTAGGTAATCAATATTCTAGAAGTCACTAATACAAAATGCCAGAAGAAAGATAGTTAAGTGACATTTTACAAAAGCAAGGGAAAATATGCATGTGCTCAGGGCCCTGCAGTTTTTATTACTATCACAATTGTTAAGGGAAAATATTTCAATAAGGACATGTTGATATAACTTTTTTCTATTCATTTTTTTCTTCCTTTCTGCAGGCTATATTCCATCCTTAATGATGTCATAGAACAGAAGTTTTTCTTCAGTTCACTCATTTTACCATAAGGATGGATGGCTTCTGTGTGTTTCTGCTTTACAGAGAATGACAAATGTTGCTAAGAGGCTCTGAGGGCCACCTAAAAAGGATCAATATCCTGAATTACATTCATTTCAAATAAACCTTAACAATTCTGATACATAGAAATTGTACTTTTCATATAAGACCTCAATATACTGCCTAACTCTACTTGACCTAATTTGCTATTCAAAGAAATCCGACTTAAATTAGAAAAAATGTTAACTTTGAAATTTTTTATATATATAAAACAAATGTAAGACTGCTATTCTTAAATATTTTGGACAAAAGAACCACATAAGAAAAATATTAATTTTATAACCTACAGTTCCTAAACTTTAAAATAGTTTGTAGCATTTAAAGTTTTATTAAACAATTTAAGTATTTGAACATTAAATAATATGTTTACATTTAATCAACTCCAAAATAGCTGCCTTTAATCTTCTGAACAAATCTGGTTTTTACTTGCACTGCTCTCAAAAATTACACATTTCTGCTTTATGTTGAGATTATTTAGTCCTAGATGACCAAAATGTACATCTACATTTGGTAATTTAGTACATTTTACATGATTGGTCACATTTTTGTTTGTTATCCTGGCGGCTTCTTTTACATGTGTGAGTAAAAACTAATATATTTCTTACCTATTAACTCACTGAAATTTCTAATTGAAAGCAACATTTAAGAAATATTAGGGCTCGGGGTAGAGCTTAGTGGAATAATTTGTGCTTAGCCATGTGTTGAGGCCCTGGGTTTGATCCCCAGTACAGCCAAAACAAAAGAAAGACAGATATATTGTATTACAGAAATTGTGATGTGATTTGCTCATGAAGCAAGATGTCCATATGCTTAATATTTTTAATTTTAAATATAATTTATAACAAAAGTGATATAAGATGAGTCAATTTAGAGTATCCTTTGCAAAAGACCCTCATACATGACACACAGTTATTCATATATAATTTCATTCATTAAAAATATTGAAATTTACTTTCTTTGCTATGTGCTTATTTTCTTTCTAGAGCTTTCTATTTGAAAGTGTATAAGATTTATTAAGTACCTATGTGTGTAGACATCTTCACTTCTTACATTATAAAATAAATATGCTAAAATGCATTTGAAGCTCAAGGAAAGTATGCTAGAACTTGAAAACTAGATGTTAAACTATTAGTGTAATCATACACCAAACTGTAACCTAACAATCTTTAAGTAGAGCTCTCCTAACTTCTTAGTTACTGCACATTCTAATAATCAAATTATTATTAGTTGCTAAGAAAAGCACTGTTTGAGACTGAGATAAGGAGTAAGAGAAAGAATGAAAAAGTAATAGATCCAGCCTTCTTAGAGTTTATTTTGTTGATAAACGAATATTCTTCATATAGAAATTTATTTCCCTGCTGTATTTTGTCCCCTACAGCCCATTCTCCACACCACTGCCCTCAGAAGATTGGAGAGTATTTTACAATATAACACTGATTTCTCAAGAATTGGCATAAGAGTTCTTTTTGTATATACCTTGAGTTGCTCCCTAGAATATCTTCCCTACTCAATATGAACTTTAGATAATTCCAACCACCTGTAATTATATTTCATTGTATCACCTCACTGTTCTACTTCTTAAATTCCCTGCAGTGTAGAAAGTAGGATTATTTAATGAGCTACATACACATCATCAGATATTTAATTAGACTCCAACATATTTATGAACCCCCCCCCCCACACACACACACACAAAATGAAAGAGACTACGACAATGTCTTGTGGTGGAAACATTATATGATAATAAAAAGTTCATGTTCTTTTAACAAAAACAGCCATTCAAAATTATTTAGTTTTCTGGAGTGGTTGGAGCCATAATAGTTTTCCCCCACATATTATATATATAGTTAAAGAATGGCAAACCTAAAGGCAAACACTAACACCAAAATCCATTTGGCAGTTTTTGTTCCTACATTAAACAGTACAAGAACAGAGGAATCAATTTAATCATTTTTAAATGTCTGTAATGTGTTCTTATAAAATTACAATTTTTGAACTAACCTAAAAAGTTATTGTTTTATGAAAGCACTAATGCTTTATAGAAGCATTTCTGGGAACATTTAAGTAGTGTTTGCACGACTGAGTGTATTTTGTGTGATTAATAGTAACTTTTCACACATGTAATGAAGTACATAGCTTTACCCATTTTGAAGCACTTACTGTCAACTACTGGTTCAATGAAGAATGAAATATAATTATAGTTTTCCCATATTTGATCTCAACTCCCTCACTTTATATTCTAGCTATCTAGCACAGAACTCTAATAGAGCAGAAGCTTTATAAACATTTAATGGATGAAACTAAGTACTCTTTCCCTCTTTAACATGACCGTTTTTTGTTTGTTTGTTTTTTGATACTAGGGATTGAACCAATGGTACTTTATAACTGAGCTGCATCCCCATCCCTTTTCTACATGGCTGAGGTTGGCCTCAAACTTGTGATCCTCCTGTCTCTGCTTCCTGAGTCACTGGGATTACAGGCATGCACCTTGTACCTGGACTCTCTTTAACATTCTCAACAAAGCTTGTTATATGTAAATTTATCCAATTATTTAAAAATATTGTTATTAAATAATAGCATTCTTCAAGATGTTTTCAGAGAATTTTGCGTATGTTTGATCACATAAACCAATTCAAGTTGAAAACAATGGCCCTTTGCTTAAGATTCTATATTTTATAAATACCTTACTGATATTAATTTGATCCTCTCACAATGTTTACTTGAAAATGAGAGACGTGGTATAAGGAAACTGAAGAACAGTTATGATTTTTTTTCTTAGTCTGCTTGTTTAGGTTCCTACAATATAATACCATAGATGAAGTGGCTTACAAGAAAGACATTTGTTTTTTAGTTCTAGAGGCTAAGAATTCCAAGATCAAGGGCCAGCAGATTTGTTTCATGTTGAGGGCCTGCTTTCTGTTTTATGGTTGTAGACTCCTCATTTTCATTGTGTTTTCACATAGCCTGTCCTATGTATGTGAAAGTGAAGGGAAGAGAAGAAGGAGCAGGGGTGGGGGACAGAAAGAGTGAGAGATCTCTCTTACTGGCACTGATGCAATCCAGTGGGTCTCTCCCTCAAGATCTACTTTACAGCTAATTATCTACATAAGCCCACACCTCAAAATACCATCACTTTGGGAAATAGAAATTCAACATATGGATTTTGGGGAGGCAAACAATCAGTCTAAAAAAAATTAATAAAAGATGATCCCGAGTTCCTTTTATTCACCATATCCTCCTTTGTCCAAGGAAGGAAGAGGGATGGAAATATCAAGGAAGAGGGATAAAAATAAAACATTGTTTGTTTTAATGAATTTGTTAATTTCAAAAAGTTATATACATTATTCATGTGTTAATTTCTTGCAAGTCAAATGCATTTAGAGAAGAATGAAATGTTTGCAATGTTATGAGCTAAATTATAAAACTAATGATATTTTTCCATTCAAAGTTTTTGGACTTAAGTTTTCTTATGTTGATAAAGATTATTTTATTAATTATTTTACTACCAAAATGTAATAATTTTTGTAGCTAATAAAATATATTCCTTGCATATTGAGATGGATTTATGAGTATAAATTGGCATGTACATACTCACACAATATTTGAAGAAACATAAAAAATTGAAAATATCAAAGGAATTGATAGCAAACAACTTTCCCAAAATCCTTTCTTATATATGAATTTCTGTGATTAACCAGTATGGATGTAGTAAGAATAATAATGACTCCCATAGTGCCCATGCCTAATTACCTAAATTTGTGACTGTTTTACCTTTTATAGCAAAAGGGATTTTGTAAAGGTTATAATATTAAGCACCTGGGGATGATATGACTACCATAGATTATTTGTGTGTAACTACTGTAATCATAAATAAGCTTCCAAGACAGAGACAGAGGATAAGAAACAGAGTTGTGAGGACAAACACATTGGTTTCATGACTTAAGAACTGAGTTAATTCTTCCAACTTGGTTACTCAAGAGATGGACAGAAACAAGGGTAGGGAGGATTAAACATAGCACTAATTTCCAGAAACAAGCAAATAAACTAAGGGTATATAATACAGCATAATTTCATTTGCTTAGACTGTATTACTTAGCATATAGTCTTACACATATTATCACCAATACATACTGATATAGGTGTAACATATTAATGTAGGTGTGAGAAAATGGGCAATGTTCCTAAATTTGAAGACTATGTGAAAAGTACAAACCATAATATGAAGAAAAAAAAAGCAAAGGACAAAATTATTAAGTGCAAAAGCTGTTGACAATTAGAATGATATTAAAAGAAGTTTGAGATTTAAAATGAAACCACAGAAGAATAACAGAGAGTGGGACAATTTTTATTTCCATGAAGAGATTGATATGAAGAAATTTGATATTTTTCTCCCTACATTTTATACAGTATAGCACTCAAGAAGAGAAACTGAACATTTACTTAATTAGGATGCATCATTAATTTTAGTGTCTCATGAACTCTGAGGGCCTTTCACCTCTATAATGAAAATAAAGAGAAACTAAATTACTTGATTGCCTATCCTCTTGGTATCTCTCAGTCTCTCTAATGTGTGTACTTTCTATTCAGAAGAAATATAGACCTTGTAGGAGTATGAAAAGCAATCCTTCACATTGATCATGGACCTCTGGCTCTGAAGATAAAATATGAATTTATAGACAAAAGTAATTTTAAAAGACTATATAACATGAATTCATTTCATATTTGTGAAAAGAGAATGAGTCTAAAAGTCAATTCAACAAATATTTATTGAGCATTTATTCAACAATCTTTCATTGATAGTATTTTATGTAAGAAGCAAGATTTTAAATGTTATAAGGACATAAAAATAAGTAAGTTACAATCTTTATGTCCTAGTTGGAGGATAAGGGATGTAAGCTGATAAATATAAAGGTATTTTTTACTCCCTCTTATATTTCATCCACATCATCATTCATATTTTTATTACAAAGAAAACCAAATGTATTGATTGTCATCTATAGGCCAACCACTTCCAAGAATAATGTCCTGCATAAAACCAAGAGCAAAGATCATGAATATCTGACAAATATTACCAAGAAGAAAACAACAGTGAAAGAAAATATTAAACCTAGAATTAAATGAGTGCTACTTCCTTTTGCTTAGGCATAAGATCTCTTCAATACATCCAGCATACTTCACTCATTTGCATTTCTTACTAGCTCCTGTAAGCATGTAAGTTAGCTTGAGCTTGTTGGCAAGAAAAATTTGCTTAGAGTTTAAAAGGCAGCAATTGAGTAGGATGCATATTTTAGACCACATAAATTAAATGTTGCCATTTCAACTCCTTAAAACAAAATTTAATTTAATGCTTAAGTTCAGTTGACTACACAGAACATGTGTGGTGATCTGAATCACAGTGATGCAGGACCCAGTAGCCTTTCATCTCTTGACCCAAGCCTCCATGAAGTCCTTATGTATTTTGTATGCATTTGGTAAATGGGAGAAAAAGAGATTGTGAAGGTCACTTAAGAGACTTTGTGGACCAGGTCTAGAAGTGGCCCAATCACTTCTATTTACACTCCATTGACTGGAACATGTCTCACTTGAAAGAATACTATAAAGTGGAATCATGCTTTGCATATAAGGAAAGAAAATATGCAATAAGCTGCATGGATAGCAATATGCTGCATTGGTAGCCTCAGACCAAATCATTCTTATACATGACTAAAGCATCAGGCTGCACAGTTAATGAAGGCTGGGAGATTTAACTTCACTATGTGAAAGAATCAACTCAGGAAATTTGGTAAGTTGTGCTCCTTGCCAGTAACTAAAAGGGAAAGTGCACATACTTAGTTTTTAATAAATATTTATTAAATGAATGAATATTTATGGCCCTTGAGTGTTCTCATGAAATTTTACTGTGTCCAAATGTGACATTCAACTGGATGTCTATGTGCAAATAAAATAAATAAATAAATAAATTAGAAATTCTAGACAAAAATTAACCCAAAATGTATCACTGATTTATATATAAAAGAAGATAGATAAAACAATCTAGATGACCCTGAGTATTGAGATGGAGTTTTGATTCAATACAAAAAGAATAATTCATAAAAGAAAATAATTAGTCAAACTTTATTTAAAATTAAAATTTCAGTTCTCTAAGTGATACTTTTAAGTGTCCCAATTTCTCCTTCAGGCTGGTCCTCCCCTTTGAATTTTCCAGTCTATCAAACTTATTTACCAACAACTTTACTAGAAAGTATCATAGCCATCATAGTTTTAATATGTCACAAAATTCAACTGCTATTCCTCAATCCATTCCCAAACTTGTTCCACCTCCATTATTCCCTAGCTCAATTAATGAAAACTCTTCTTTGCTGATGATCAGGTAAAATAAAACTCTGCAGTTATCTTTTGCTTCTGTCAGGGCTTTTACCAGATTGATCAACAAATGCTCTTTTTTTTTTTTCAAAAAAAATTTTTTTTAGAGAGAGAGCGAGAGAGAGAGAAATTTTTAATATTTATTTATTTTTTTTAGTTTTTGGCGGACACAACATCTTTGTTTGTATGTGGTGCTGAGGATTGAACCCGGGCCGCACGCATGCCAGGCAAGTGCGCTACAGCTTGAGACACATCCCCAGCCCAATGCTCTTGATGATAACTACAAAATACACCTTGCATCTGGCTACTTCTCACTACTTTCATTGCTAACATAGTCATCCAAGTCACTGTAATCGCTCACCAGGTGTATTTCAATAATCTCTTTGTTAGTCTGTTCTGCCTATCTCTTCATCTCTCTTTCAATCCTTAACCCAGAAAACAATATAATCCTGTTAAACTAATCTTGTAATTCCTCTGGTCAAAATGTACAATGTGATCCCATTTATGTAGAAAAAACACCAGTGTTTACCTTGACTCTCAAAGGCCTAAAACATTTAATTATTATTATTTTTACTCCCTAGTTTATAACTAGCATCCTCCTAGTCACTCTTTTTTTTTCCAATGACCTGGGCCTTTTAACAGAAATAAACTTCTTTCTGAGGCCATCAAGTTGAGAGAAATTTCCATTTTACATTTGTAAAGTCCTAGGTCTCATTGGATCTCCAAATGCTATTTGGTATGTTCTCCCTCTGGAAGTATTGGTCCAGCAGAAACAAGGTAGTACAATTTCAGGATACTTTCCTTCTAAAATACCATACTATAATTTTTACTGTACTGTTGACAGTACCTGTTGAGAGTTTTCTTCCAAAATTCCAGGAGAAAAGCATATGAGAAAACTCTGTCCTTAGATTTTTAGTCATTGTGTTTCACACCCAACTTTCATTTTGCCCCCCTCTTCTTCTCTGTAATTCTTTGCCT